ATGCGATAAGAAAAGACATTTAGCACATACATTTAAGAATATGGACAACAGAAGAGAGAACTATATAAATGCTTTAATTGCCATAAAATAGATCACATGGCAAAAGATTGTAAAATAGAACTTGAGTGTTGTAAGACTTGTAAGACTAATCATTCAGAAAAAGACTTCTTAGAAACCAAAAAGGACACTTTAAAAAAGAAAAATGTTCTAAAATAGCTCTTATAACGCATGTGGCCACTGAGGAATGGGTAGTGGATTCAGGCTCGACATCACACATGACTAATGCTGCACAGAAGTTGAAAGATAGTAGAGAAGTAAATACAGAAACCAATATAGCGAATCAGAAAGAAATGATGATGGCAAAACAGATAGGGACAGTTGAAATGGAAAAATGTGCTGTACATGCTGAATTTAATAAAGAGAACCTGATGTCAGTAAGTGCAATAGGTAGACAAAGAGAAAAAATAGAATTTTATAATGGTGAAGTGAAAGTGAAAGCCTGATGATGACTGCCTCGTGTGTTGCCGCGCCCGTTTACCACGATCGTGACGAGAACGTAGGATTAAAACAAAAGTTACATGCAANATCGAAAGATGATGTTTCGGCAAAAGTAAAAGAATTTATAGTGCTAGCTGAGGTAAAACGGAAAAGAAAAGCAAAGAAATTAAACGTGATAATGGTAAAGAATATACTTATAATACTAAATAATAAATTGAAACTTTGGTATGCATAATAATAAATTGAAACTATTGAAGCAGGAATATCAATAAATTATACGCCACCCTAGATGCCTCAATTACATGGTAAAGTCAAAGGATTGAACTGAACATTAATTGAAGAAGTAAGAACAATAATAAATCAAGTTGAAAAGATGCTCTGGGGAAATGCAATAAGTGTAGCCACATATCTGCATAATAGAGGTCCTACTAAGGTAAATGAAAAAACCGCCTACGAGAAGATTGTTAAGATCTCGAGGTTTCCCGCTCCCGAGGTTTGCCGATCTCGAGGTTTGCCGCTTTGCTCGGTCTCTTTCCCGCTCTTCGCGGTTTCTTTTCCCCTCTCGCTTTATTTGCAGCTGCCGAAGCTTGACGCTCTCGGCCCAGCAGGGGTCTGACTCGAGCACAACAGACCGGGTCTGCTGAATGTCACCCACACATTCTTTCTTTTACACGCTTTTCCCTATACCTCCATTTCGCTTGCCGGCACTGAGCGGAATCTTGGAGCGGAAAACGCAGTGGGAATAGGCCATAATGGTCAATCCCCACAGAGCTTGCGGTGCGGTGCTGTACAGCGTTTTTGGATCCGACCGGCACATTTGCCTCTACCGTATCTTGCCGTTTGCAGATCCTAACTATGGTTCGTACGAGGTACTTGGTATGAAATATTTTCTTGATTTAATCGCCCTCACCATAATTTTCATTCTATTTGTAATTAATATTCCATTTTTATTATAAGTAATAGGTATAGTTAAGAAATTCATTGCATCATGGGTTGTTACATGATTCTTTTTTTATTTATCATTTATACAAATATCACAGGAACGTGTATGTGAACATTTTCATATCTATTATGTTAAAGATATGAATTCTCACAAGGACAATTGTTCATCCTTGTTGT